GAGATGTCTTCTTGGTTTGGATTCATTGTTGGTGAGCTAGTGTAATCTTTTGGGGATGTTAAAGAACCTTGCTTTGTCATATTACCAGAATTATTTTTCTGGTTCCTTCTTATTTGGGTAGAGTATGTCAGAGGAAAGATCTGGGGCTCAAGGGCTGCTGTTCAGATTCTTTGTCTCATAGGTTGATTTCTTGATATGGTACTCTCCACCTTCCCCCTAGGGATGGGGCTTCCTGAAAACTGGACTGCAGTGATTGTTATTGCTCTTCTGGGTCTAGCCACCTAATGGAACTACCAGGCTCTGGGCTGGTACTGGGGAGTATCTGCAGAGTCCTATGATGTGATTTGTTTTCACGCCTCTTAGCCATGGATACCATCACCTGCTCCAGTGGAGGTAGCAGGGGAGTTAAGTAGACTCTGTGTGGGTCCTTGGTTGTAGTTTTGGTTAGTGTGCTGGTTTTCTTGAATGCTGGTTGTGCTAGCAGTGAAGTTGTCATGTGGGCAGACTCAGGACCTCTGATTTCCCAGGATGTTATAGGCAGTGGAATTAGCTGTTGTTTTCTCCTTTCTTGGAACAGGGTTTCTCTTTTATGAGTTGCTGTAATGGCTTGAGTTGGTTGACCTCCAGTCAGGAGGTGGTGCTTTCAAGAGAGCATCAGCTGTAGCAATATAGTGGGGATACAATTTTGCCCTGAGGTTGCCTGGATGAGTATTCAAGTTTCTTAGGTAATGGACAGGGCCATAAAGCTCCCAAGAGATTATGTCTTTTGTCTTTGGCTACCAAGGTAGGTTGAGAAAGACCATCAGGTGGGGGCAGAGTTAGGCATGTCTGAGCTCTGATTCACCTTGGGTGGGGCTTGCTGTGGCTCTCAGTGGGAGATGTGGGGAGGGTTCTCAGGCCAATGGAGTTATGATCCCTGGGGGAGTATGGCTGCCTCTGCTGCATCATACAGGTTGCCAGGAAAGTTGAGGAAAGCCATCATTGACAGGCCTCACCCAGCTCCCATGCAACCAGCAAGGCTGGCCTCACCCCCACCATGCTCCATCAAACAAGATGAGTTTATATCCAGACAGTTGGTGAGCAGGGCTAAGATCTTGCCCTGGGCTACAAAGAAGCAAGCAGGGCTTTTAAGCCCCACCCCTCCCCATGTGCCTCAGATTCTGTGCTTATATGTGCACCTCCCATTCACCCCCTCTGCTCTCCAGATTCCCCCAGGAAAATTCATGTTTTGTGGAAATTATTACAAAGTACAGCTGGAAGTTTCCTTCTCCCTGTGGTCCTTCCCCAGTTCCACTGGCAGCCCTCCGCAAAGACCCCTGAGAGATTAAAGTCAGAAATGGCTATCCTGGGTCTCCCTGGGGACCAAGAGTGCCTACAGGGTTATTCTCGCTGCTTCTTCTACTTTTATATTTTGCTTGGCTCTCTAAATTCATTTCAGCTCTAGGTAAGGTTAAATCCTTCTCTTGTGATCTGGATTTTGGGGTTTCCCCAGTGAGGATGGGTGTTCAGAGGCAGACTTTCCCTCTCTCACACTTTGGGCACTCACAATTTTTTGGCTGTCTCACTGAGTTTGCAGCAGCAAGCTGCTTCTTTCAAAGAATCTGTGAATTATTTCAGTTTTTGTAGTCTGTTCCTGCAGTAGTTCTTGGAGCAAAAGTTCACAATATGAGTCTCCATATGCTCTGTCCATCCAAATGGGAGTTGCAAGTTAGTCATGCCTCTTACCCACCATTCAAAAATATTTTTGACTTTTTAGTATTAGCCATGCTGACTGGTGTGAGATGGTATCTAATTGTGGTTTTGATTTGTATCTCTCTAATGATTCATGATGAACATTTTTTTTTCATGGTTGTTGGCTACTTAAGTCTTTTTTGAGAAGTATCTGTTCATGTCCTTGGCCCACTTTTTAATGGGGTTGTTTTTTGCTTGTTGTTTAAAATTTCTTGTAGATTCTGGATTTTAATCTTCTGTCAGTTGCACAGTTTGCAAATATTTTCTTCCATTCTGTAGGTTGTCTGTTTAGTCTGTGGCTCATTTCTTTTGCTGTGTAGAAGCTCTTTAGTTTAATTATGTCCCCTTTGTCTATTTTTGATCTTGTTGCATTTGCTTTTGGAGTCTTCATTATAAATTCTTCGCCTAGGCCCATATCTAGAAGGGTATTGCCTAAGTTTTCTTTTAGGATTTTTATAGTTTGAGGTCTTGCATTTAAGTCTTCAATCCATCTCAAGTTAATTTTAATATATGGTGAGATGTAGGAGTCCAGTTTCATTCTTCTGAATATGGTTAGGTAGTTTTCTCAGCATCATTTATTGAATAGCATACCGTTTCCCCATTATTTATTTTTGTTGACTTTGTTGGCGATCAGTTGGTTGTAGGTGTGTGGTTTTATTTTGGGGGTCTCTATTCTGTTTCGTTGGTCTACATATCTATTTTAGTGCTAATACTATGCTGTTTTGGTTACTGTAGCCTCGTAATATAAAGTCAAGTAGTGTGATGCCTCCAGCTCTATTCTTTTTGCTTAAGATTGCCTTGCCTACTCATGCTCGTTTTTGGTTCCGTGTGAATTTTGGAATAGTTTTTTCTAATTCTGTGAAAAATGATGTTGGTAATTTAATAGGAATAGCATTGAATCTGTAGATTGGCCAGTATGGAATTTTTAATGATATTGATTCTTCCAACTTATAATCGTAGAATGATTTTTTATTTGCTTGTATCATCTATAATTTCTTTCAACAGTGTTTCATAGTTCTCTTCATAGAGATATTTTACCTTCTTGGTTAGATGTATTGCTAGGGATTTTTTGTGTGTGTGCCTATTGTAAATGGGATTACATTCTTGATTTGGCTCTCAGCTTCAACATTATTGGTGTATAGAAATGTATTTTTTGTACATTGATTTTTGTATCCCGAGACTGCTGATGTTATTTATTATTTCTAGGAATTTTTTGGTGGAATTGTGAGGATTTTCTAGGTATAGAATTATATTATCAGTGAAGAAAGATTATTTGACTTCCTGTTTTCCTGTTTGAATGTCTTTTCTTTCTCTTGCCTGATTTCTTTTGCTAGGACTTCCAGTACTATGTTGAATAGGAGTGGTGAGAGTGGACTTGTCTGGTTCCAGTTATTAGGAAAAAAAAAACTTCCAGCTTTTGCCCATTCAGTATCATGTTGGCTGTGGGCTTGTCATAGATGGCTCTTATCATTTAAGGTATGTTCCTTTGGTGCCTGGTTTGTTGAGAGTTTTTATTGTAAAGGAATGCTGGATTTTATTGAAGGCTTTTTCTGTGTCAAATGAGATGTTTATATGGTTTTTGTTTTCATGTAGCAAATCACATTTATTAATTTGCACATGTTGCACTCTCCTTGCATTCCAAAAATAAAGCCTATTTGATTGTGGAGAATTAACTTTTTGATGTGTCACTGGATTCAGTTTGCTAGTATTTTGTTGAGGATTTTTGCATCTCTGTTCATCAGGGATATTGGCCTGTAGTTTTGTTTTTGGTTGTGTCTTTGCCAGATTTTAGTATCAGGATGATACTGGTTTCATAGAATGAGTTAGGGAAGAATCCCTCCCTCTGATTTTTTGGAATAGTTTCTATAGGATTGGTACCAGTTTTTCTTCATACATGTGGTAGAATTACCCTGTGAATCCACATGGTCCAGGGCTTTATATTGGTTGTTAAGTTAATTACTGATTCAATTCCATTACTTGTTGGTCAGCTTAGGATTTCTTTTTCTTACTGGTTCAATTTTGAGAGGTTATGTGTTTCCAGGAATTTATTCATTTTTCTCTAGCTTTTCTAGTTTGTGTGCATACAGATGTTCATAGTCATCTCTAAGGATCTTTTGTATTTCTGTGGGATTTGGTTGTGATGTCACCTTTGTTAGTTCTCATTTTGCTTATTTGGATTGTCTCTCTCTTTTCCTTTCTTTATTTTTATTTTTTTGAGATGGAGTTTTACTCTTGTTGCCCAGGCTGGAGTACAATGGTGCGATCTTGGCTCACCGCAACCTCCGCCTCCTGGGTTCAAGGGTTCAAGTGATTCTCCTGCCTCCTGAGTAGCTGGGATTACAGGCATGCACCACGACGCCTGGCTGATTTTTCTAATTTTTTAGTAGAGATGGGGTTTCACCATGTTGGTCAGGCTGGTCTTGAACTCCTGACCTTATGATCCACCCACCTTGGCCTCCCAAAGTGCTGAGATTACAGGCTGAGCCACCACGCCTAGCCTCTTTTTCTTTATTAATGTAGCTAACAGTCTGTGAATCTTGCTGATCCTTTCAAAGAACCAACTTTTTATATCTTGATTCTTTGTATGATTTCTTGGTCTCAATTTCATTTAGTTCTGCTTTGATTTTTTATTTTTTCTGCTAGCTTTGGGTTTAGTTTATTCCTGTTTTTCTAATTCCTTCAGGTGTGAGAATAGGTTGTTAATCTGCAATCTTTCCATCATCCTGATGTTGTCATTTAGCACTATAAGCTTTCCTCTTAACATTGCTTTTACCACATCCAGAGGTTTTAGTCTTTTGTGTCTCTATTTTTATTTTCATTTCTTTCAAAACATTTTAAAAATTTCTGCCTTTAGTTTGTTGAAAAAAATTTTTTTTTGAGATGGAGTTTCAGTCTTGTTGCCCAGGCTGGAGTGCAATGGCCCAATCTTAGCGCACCACAACCACTGCCTCCTGGGTTCAAATGATTCTTTTGCCTCAGCCTCCCAAATAGCTGGGATTACAGGCATGTGCCACCATGCCTAGCTAATTTTGTATTTTTAGTAGAGACGGGGTTTTTCCATGTTGGTCAGGCTGGTCTTGAACTTCTGACCTCGGATGATCTGCCTGCCTTGGCCTCCCAAAGTGCTGGGATTACAGGAGTGAGCCACTGTGCCTGGCCCTTTAGTTTGTTTTTTATCCTCCAAATAATTCAAGAGCATGTTTTCAGTTCCCATGTGTTCATGTACCTTTGAGAGTTCCTCTTGGTATTGATTTCTTTTTTTTATTTTTTTATTTAAGACCTTTATTAACAGGTGCTTGCAGTTTGTTGACTTTTTTGAAAAAATCAAGTTGTAAACTTTTATTACAAATTAAAAATGAAGTTCTTAAAAATCTCAACTTGACCAGATATGAAACAATTTGAAAACCTTTAAAGGCGTATTGAGAAAAACCAGGCTTTTTTAAAAAACACGTTGGTTATTACCAAAAAGAGACATCTTTGGGTAAAAATAATAAAAACCCCATGCTGCATAGATAATGCAGATAGTTCTATTTATCTGGTCAACAGGCAAAAAGCAAGCACTTAAGGTCTTCAGCTCCAATCTTTTGTTCATTTCTTATTACTGGAATTCCTTATTTCTTCTTGTTGGATGACTAAACCGGATGATGGGAGAGATGGTAAGCTGGCATTTACTCAGCCCCGCCCTGCTCAGCGTCGGGAGCGGACCAATTCTCAGCTGGTGGATTGGCTGCTTTTGTCTCTTTGCCATTTTGTAGTTTAGGGCTTTCTGGGCGTCTGTGTCGGTAATTGAAGTTGCGGCGGTACCGACGTTGAGGTGGCTGCTGACCTTGGGTCTCATCTCCTTGATTTTCTTTATCCTCTTCATTGCCCTCCTCTCTAGACTGTCTTTGGCTAGGAGGGCCCCTGCGGAATCGTGATCTATATCCCCAATACATATTCTGCCTGACTGGTCTGCCTTGTTCTCCTGCACCCTGGTTGTCAGCACCCTCCATCACTTCTCTCTGCACAGGAGGGTTGGAATATTGTGGTCGATGCCCATAGGGTCTCCGCATGTAGTAAGGTGGGAACCTTCGCCTGCAGTAGGGCCGGCCTTGTTGGGCCTGGCCTTCGGGAGCACTCTCTGATCCCTCATTTTTTTCCCCCTACACACTATTCTGGTAATTTTGCTGGTAATTGCATGGAGGACCCCTACCATGGATAGCGTCTGTAATGTTTAAGGTCTGCTGTGTATTTACTGCCTTGAACTGGAACACTACCAGGACCTGTATCATTTGCTGCCTCTGCACCCTTTTCTCCTTCAACAACATCAAACTCCACAGTCTCTCCATCTCCTACACTGCCAAGGTACTTCCTGGGGTTATTCTTCTTTATGGCAGTCTGGTGTACAAAGACATCTTACTTGGTGTCATTCCTGTTGATGAAACCATATCCGTTCCTTACATTGAACCATTTTACTATTCCCAAAACCTTTGTTGTGATGACTTTATTGTCCCTGCCGGCACGCGCCGCCGATGTGACACCGCCCGGGCCACGGCTCCCTGCGCTGCTGCCTGTAGTGCCGGGCTTGGTGTCCGCGGCGCTGAGGGCAGGGGCGGCGAGGGGATGACAGCGGGTGGCGGGCGGCTGCTGGGTCTCGGCCTCCCTGCTCATGGTTGCGGTGATGGTGACTGGGGCCGGCTGAGGCAGCTACAGCTCCTCCCGGAATGTGATGGTAACTAGGCCGTTGGTGGCAGTGGGGCTTCTCAAGGCTCTCTGGGGTCCGTTCTCTGCTCCCGCTACCGATCGAACTTGGGATTGATTTCTACTTTCATTCTACTGTGGTCCAAGAAGATGGTTAGTATGATTACAATTTTTAAAAATTTGTTAAGACTTGCTTTATGATGAGCAGCTGGCCAATATTAGAGTATGTTCTGTGTGCAGATGAGAGAATGCATATTCTGTAGTTGTTGGGTAGAGTATTCTGTCTATTAGGTCTAATTGTTCAAGTGTTATATTTAAGTCCAGGATTTCTTTTTAGTTTTCTGCCTCAATAATCTGTCTAATGCTGCTGGTGGAGTGTTGAAGTTCTCCACTAATATTGTGTGGCTGTCAAATACTTTTCTTAGGTCTAGAAGTAATTATTTTTAAAATCTGGGTGCATTCATGTTGGGTTCATAGATATCTAGGATAGTTAAGTCTTTTTGTTGATTTGAAGCCTTTATTATTATGTAATGCCTTCTTTGTCCTTTTTTACTGTTGTTGGTTTAGGGTCTGTTTTATCTGATGCAAGAATAGTGATTTCTGCTCTTTTTTGTTTTCCACTTACATGATAGATCTTTCTCCATCTTTGAGAGTATGGGTGTCATTACATGTGAGATAGGTCTCTTGAAAGACCGTAGAAAGATGGGCCTTTTTTAAATCCAATTTTCTACTCTGCGTCTTTTAAGTGGAGTGTGTAGGCCATTTATGTTCAAGGTTAATATAGATATGTGAGGGTTTTTTTCCTGTCATATTATTGTTAGCTAGTTGCTTTGTAGTCTTGATTGTGTAGCTGTTTTTATGGAGTTAATGGTCTGTATGCTTGTGTTTGCTTTTGGGGTGGCAAGTATTGTTCTTTAATTTCTATGGTTAGAACTCCCTAAGTATCTCTTGCAGGGCCCAACTGGTGGTGATAAATTTCCCTAGCAATTGCTTGTCTGGGAAATACTTTATTTCTCCTTTGTTTATGAAGCTTAGTTTGGCAGTATATGAAATTCTATGCTGGCGTTTTTTTTAAGAATACTAAAAATGAGTCCCCAGTTTCTTCTGGCTTATAATGTTTTTGCTGAGAAGTTTGCTATTAGTCTGATGGGTTTCCTTTATAGGTAATATGAGCCATATAATCCTTTTCTCTAGCTGCCTTTTAAGACTTTTTCTTTCATGTTGACTTTGGATAGTCTGATGACTATCTGCCTTGGGGATGGTCATCTTCGATAATACCTCACAGAAGTTCTCTGGATTTCTTGTATCTGCATGCCAACCTCTCTAGCAAGATTGGGGAAATTTTCCTGAATTATATCCTCAAATATGTTTTCCAAGTTGCTTACTTTCTCTTCTTCTCTTTCAGGAATGCCAATATATCATAGATTTGATCACTTTACATAATCCCACGATTATTAAAGGCTTTGTTTTACATTTTGATTCTTTTTAAACAAATTTTTGCCTGACTAGTTTGAGTCAAAGGACCAGTCTTCAGGCTCTGAAATTCTCTCTTCGGCTTGGTCTAGTCTGTTGTTAATGCTGCCAATTGTGTTTTAAAATTGCTGAAGCAACATTTTCAATCCCATAAGGTTTTGTTTGGTTCTTTCATAATATAGCTATGTTGTCTTCTAAATCTTGGATTATTTTTCTGGCTTCTTTGTGTTATATTTCAACTTTATCTCAGATCTCATTGAGTTTCTTTGCCACCCATATTCTGAATTCTGTATCTGTCATTTCAGACATTTCATTCTGGTTTGGACCCACTGCTTGGGAGCTAGTGGAATCTTTTGGGGATGATGAAATACTCTGGCTGTTTTTATTGCCTGAGTACTTGAACTAATTCCTTCTCATCTGAGATTGCAGATGCTCCTCCTCCTCCTCCCTTTTTCTTCTTCTTCTTTTTCTTCTTCTCCTCCTCCTCATCCTCCCTTCTTCTTCTTTTTCTTCCTCCTCTTCTTCTCCTCCTCCCTTCTTCTTCTTTTTCTTCTTCTCTTCCTTCCTCCTCCTCCTTCCTCCTCTTCCTCCTCCTCCTTCCTCCTCCTTCTCCTCCTCCTCCTCCCTCCTTCTTCTTTTTCTTCTTCTTCTTCTTCCTCCTCCTCCTTTTTGAATTTGCTGTTGTTTCAATGGTGCTCCTTAATTTTTTATTCTTTTTTCCCTTGGGTTTATGGTTATGGTATTTATCATATATATAATTGATTGGCTGCCTTTTTGGGTGCTTTAAGGGCTCTAGCTCTGTACAGGTTTCTTGGTTGCAGACAGGTTCATGCAGTGGCTTTCCAGATGTGGCTTGTTGTAGCAATGCAATTTTCTTTGGTGATGCAATTCAGGCTGCAGTCTGGTAGATGGAGCTTAAGAGTAAGAGCCAGCAGGTAAAGATGGGAGCAGAGGCAACAGAGAAGCACAAAAATTACTCACTCCCAGTGCACATTAGCTTTCTGTGGAGGTGGAGCTACTAGAAAAGCCTGAGAAGCAGACTCTTTCAGCTCATGCTCCCTATGCTCTGATGGGAACAGTTGCTGCTGAGTCTGTGACAGTGCACTGAGGAAGAGGTGGGGGCTCAGGGAAGATTCCTCTCCATATCTGTTCATGGGCTATGGTGGTGCTGCCTCCAGTGTCTGGTGCTGTGCTTGTGTTTCTTTTGACCCAAGGGGGTCTTTTGTGGGCTGTGCTCTCTCCTCCCTTAGGGGTAGTCTACACTAAGGGTTAGTTCTCCTGAGGAGTGGGGTCTGTCTCCCTTCTGCTCCTTGTAGCTGGTAGGGCCCTGTCCCCCAACTGACCAAGGGAGAAGGCTGGGGGACTCAGCAATGACACACTCAGACTGGTTCCAGATCACAAAGCTGTCTCTCCTGCAAGTCTTGCAGCCCAGGAGAAACCTAGACTTCAGCAACTCTCCTCCCGTTCCTGTCCTACAACAGGAGAAAGCCTAATTCAGTGCCTACTGCGGGGGCATTCTCCACACTTCCCACTTAATTCTGGCTGTGTGGATCCTTTCCCAGTTCTAGAGCAAGTGCTGGAAACTCTGGCCCAAGACTACAATGAATGCTGTGGCTGCCATTGCCAGGTCACAAAACAACATCTCTAAACTCCCCAAATGGTGCCAGATATGGGCTTGTGACTGGAGAGGGTGGGACCCCTCTCAGGTGAGCACCATGAGCAAAAAGCTGTGGGGAGGGCAGTCCACTCAATTCTCAGTCTCACAACAGCCTGTAGCAAGGCATTGGGTATTGTCATAGATATGCATAGGGGAGCCTGGCTTGCCTGCCCCTCCTTGGCTGGGTGGTGACAACAAGTATTAAAAAATACTTGTTGATGCAAAGTACTTTTCCTATACTATCGTACTTAAATCATACAACACTTGAGTACAGAGAGGTCAAGTAGCTTGACTAAGATTGCAGCTAATATGTGATAAAGTCAACCCAGTTCCTCAGACTTGGGACCCGAACCATTTCCCTTCCCCTTGAACATACTGTTTGTATAAGTTCTCATCACCAGGAACTTCTTGTAGGAAACCCATATCCCACTTGCTATAGTATGAACCTATTTCTTTTTGTTCTGTCCTCAGTTAATTAAAAGGAAAAATAATCATCCCCTAATTAGAGGTTTATTCTAAAGTGGTAGGTTTACCTCATATAGTGTTAGGATAATAAGGCTCTAAGTAGAAAGCACTGAAAGAGGCCAGTACGTTTTCAAAGAGGCTTTAATCATGTGATCACACTTCTCATTTCCAAGCAAAGTATGTGTACATGTGAGTGTTTGAGGCTGACATGATAGCCCTGTGATTGTTCCTTCTTCCACTTCTATCCAACATGCAGAACATTTTCAACCGAAATTATAAAACTATAGTAAAGGATGTAAAAGTGTAAATTTGGGTGCTCACAAATCATAAGCTCCTGGAAGAAATATCGTATGTTTTCTATTTCTGTTCTGCTCATGGATTACCCACATGTCACCTTTTCTCCACCCTGTCCTCGATGATGTATGCTTTCTTAGGCTGAGCTCTGAGAATGAGGTGTGTGGATTGAAATTGTATTGGGACTCTGGCCTGGCCTAGAAAAACGTGCAAGAGTGAATGTCAATGTTGTGGTTGGGGCTCAGTTTGGTTGGAGAGGAAATAGCTGACTAATGCAAAGAAACAAAGGCAAATCCTGGAACAGGCAGGCTTGGGAAGCAGGGAGCCCCTTAACCCAGAGGTAGGAGAGAAAAGTCTTGATTTAAATGTTTGAAAAACAGACTGAAAATAAATCAGTCTCTTTTATTAGTATACAGCCTAAATTTACACTTCTAATGCCACCACCAAAGAATGACATGTTGGTTCTAAAGGGCTGGAGTCTTTAGTTGGCTCGGTATCCAGGGAGGGAGATGTCTCTTTTGGGCAGACATCCCTGGTATATTGTCTGTGGATAATGCTGCACCTTCCAAGTGGTTTACATCTTTCTGAGGAGCTCAGGTTTTTATTCCACCTTAACTTGGAGTAGGTATATTATTTGGGATCCTTGTGCTTCTCTTCACTATAGTTTTTCTCCTTGGGAATTTTGCAGTCCCTGGAAAGAGATTTGGCTTGGCTTTGCCCAGGCTTCTCCATGGAGAAACTATGATATGCCTTGATGGTCATTTCTCTGAATCAACATATTTTATGTCATAATTGGCTTTGTGGGTTTCAGAAACGGGACATCACCAGTTTTTTTTGAAATTAGAATGTCAGGTCATACCTGATGGAGAAAATATCAGAAATATAACCACTAATGTAGAAATTACTTCATAGTGAATGTTGGTCGATAGAGTCATTAATTGCATTAAACAGGTATTTATTGAATGCCTGATACTAGGAACTGGAGTAATGAGAAAAAATAAGATGTTTTCTGTGTTCTTCAGAGGCCCACAGGAGCTGAGGAGGCAGCCAATTTCCTGTAGAAAGCATGATAGGTACCATGGACATTTTGCTTTGC